CCCCCAGACCTTTCTCTGTCCCTGGGCTCCTCTTCCCTCCTCTGGACCCTGAAGGGCTCCCGCCGTCCGTTTCCCAGTCACTGCCTACCTCTCCCCAGCCCCCCGACTCCTTCCCCAGGACCCCGGCCTGCTGCCAGCACTGACCCCTGTGCCTTCTGCCCACAGCCAGAGGATCTGGAGGCCCCCAAGACACACCACTTCAAGGTGAAGACCTTCAAGAAGGTGAAGCCCTGTGGAATCTGCCGCCAGGTCATCACCCGGGAGGGCTGCACCTGCAAAGGTGAGCAACTGGCCTGGCTGTGGGGGAGGGGAACGCCCCCAGGGATGAGATGGCCAGGCCCAGGCCAGGCTGGGACTCTGCTGTGCACATGTCCTCGGGGGCCTGGCCGGTGCCTTGTTCTCATCTGGAGGAGGATGCCCACCAAGCTCACAGGATGGCAGGCACGTGGGCTTGTGTGGTGGGCGTGGCAGGCGGTGGATAGTGTGGAAATGGCATGTAGCTTGTGTGTGGATGACAGTGTATGTGTGTGGATGGCATGAAGAAGGTGTATATGTGAATGGCATGTGGAAGGTACATGGCTAGTAGGTGGCGGCATGTGGATGGTGTGTGGATGGCATGTTGAGGGTGTGTGTTTGGTGTGTGGATGGCATGTGTTTGGCGTGTGGAGGGTTTGTGGAAGGTGCATGGAGGTCACGTGGATGACATGCAGTTGAGGTGTATGGATGGGATGTGGGTGGCATGTGGGTGGCATGTGTCTGCCACAGCCCTCCCCCATGGCAGCGTAGGGGTGACTGTAAGAGGCCCTGAGTCAGAATTGGTGGAGGACCTGCTGGCTGCTGCGTCTTTTAGTCACTATTCTCACGCGCTCCTGGCACAGCCTGGTGTTTGGCTGAGACTGTTGCCAGAGAAGTCGGTGTCTTGTCCCAGATCACAAGTGACATCAGCAGGAGGCCCAGCACCCAATCTTGGTGACTGACACCATCACGTGCCCAGTTGCCTCACCAGACGCCCCCCGTCCTTCACCCCACATGCCAGCCATCGCCAGGGCCCCCCAAGGACAGCTGGAGTCACTGAGCTCGGCATCGTCCCCTCCTGGCTCAGCTGCTGTCATCGCTCACCTGGACGACTGACTCAGCCCTGCCTTCTCCTGTTTCCCGAGCTGCTCTCTGCCATCCCCCCCACCAGCTTCCAGCAGGGCTAGTTATGTCAGTTCTGGGGTTGAAGCTTTAGGGAGCCCCACGGCTTCAAGACAAAGCACAGACCCCTTCCCACGGCTGCAGGGCCTGGCGGGGTTGGCCGCTGCTCCTGGCACAGTCCCTGACCACGCCGCCTTCGTCAAATCGCCCACTCGGGCCATGCTCTTCTTTGCCCTGGAGATTTTTCTCACTCAGCTCTCTCCGCCTGTCCTCTGTCCTCTTCTCCCCTCTCTCCATGCTGAAGTCCCAGGGCCCGGGTGGCCGGGCAGCAGAGCCGGTGAGCAACTTCTAAAGCACTTACTGAGCACCAAGTGCTCATAGGCATGACCTCATCTGATGCTCACGGCATCTGGAAGGCACTGGTGTCATCCTCATGTTACAGAGGAGGAAACTGAGGCTCAGAGTGGTCATGTCTATTGCCAAGGCACCCAGCTGGCTGGGTTGGAGTGGGTTTTTGAGGGTGTGAGCTCTTGGGGGAGGGAAGGCATTTCATCGGGGTGTTGGAGGTAGGAGTGGATGGCTGGAAGCCTGAGAGTGAGTGAGTATGCGTGGATGTGTGTGGCGGGCATTCCAGGCAAGGTCTGCCATGGGCAAAGCCAGAGGTGTATGGTCCTTAAGGACAGGGACACCCAGCATGAGTTTAGGGGGACCACCAGAAATTTTGCAATACCAAAATCAGCCAAGTGGTGTCATCCTCCTCCCAAGAGGTCTGGCTGGGACTGGCTGGTGGGTCAGGGCTGGCGTCAGGGAGACGTCACAGAGGAATTGCGGAGGGGAGGGTTTTGCATTTCGTGTGTGTAACAGGCCCCCACCCTGCCCTGCACTCTGAGGCTACCTGTCTGATTCTGGCTCTGCCCCACAGCTCTTTCCTTCCTGGGGTCTTCCCAGTACCCCAGGGAGCCTCAGTGCTGCTGTGATAGGAGGCAGCCCTGGGCTGGGGCAGAAGGAAGTCCTGGGGACATTCACAGTGTGACCTGGGGCACTTCTTGGGCTGCAATCTCCCATGGCCCCCATATTCTGTGGTTCTATGTCTCCCCATGGACTTGGCCCCTGGGCTGGGGTTGAGGAGGGTGTTGGACTCCATGTGAAGGGAAGGCCCCCCCCCCCAGGTGAGGGAGAGGTGGCCCACCCAGCTCCCAGCCTGACCTTGCTGTTGTGAGCCAGAGGGGAGGGTGGGTGGCCAGGCTGGTTTGGCAGCTCGGGCTGGGCCCCTGGTGGAGGGTGGGAAGTTGAGAAAGCCCGGCTACACTGCAGAGGCGCCACCAGGTGTCAGGACTGGGCCATGGAAGGTGGAGAGGCCAGGCCCAGCCAGGGAGGAAGGAAGAAGATTCCTGGCTCTACAGGCCACGTGTGCACCTCAGCAAGAGGACTGGGATCCCCAGGCTGGGGGCCGCTGACATCACTGTGGGATGCAGGAGTGCTTTGGAACCAGGAGGTCACGGTGGCATGAGATGGACAGACCAACTCATCCACCCACCCACCTATCCACCTACTCATCCACCCACCCGTCCTTCCAGGGCCACCAGGAGTGGTTGTTTCCTGGGCTGAGGGCACAAGTGTGGCCTAAACTCTGGCCCACGTCTATTCCCTAAGCCCGACTCAAAGGGTTTGCTCTGCTGTCTGGTTCCTCTCAGTCTCCGAGTCTGGGCCACAGCGTGGCGCGCCCTGGATCAGTGGCCGGGAGCGATGGTTGGGGTGGGGTGTATGGAATACCGGGGCCCTGGATTCGCAGTCTCCACGGGGCTTGCAGCATTGAACGAACCTCTGCTGGAGGCAGGCGGCAGTGAGGAAACTTTCCTAGACCTGCACACACTGGGCTATTTGTCCTGTCTGTCCCTGGCTGCCTGGCCCGATAGCTTGGGCCATTCTCCCGCTCCCTGCCCTCCCGCATTTCACGTTTGATGTGATATGGCAGAAGGGGGTGGGCGAGGGAGGCAAGGTCTGGTCCTGGTTCTGGGGGACTCAAAGACGAACAAGGCAGACACGGAGCCGAGGTGGGCGACACATGGGGGCAGTAGACATTCACGCGGAGGGTTCCTCGAGACCTCGGCAGGTCTTACTGTGCCGTGCCTGTCTCCTCCTGTGTACAACGGGGTTAAGAGTAACCCCGTCTTTGTCTCTGGGGGGAGGGGGGTTATTGCGAGAAACACTGAGGTTCTGCGTGTGACCCTGAGACTGTCGGGTCCTGATGCTAGGGACTAAAGCTCTGTGTGAGGGATGGCTGAGAAAATGGGAGAAGAGGCACAGGGACATTGTTAAGGCCTGCGCTCTATTTCTGGCCCTGCCACTCACAGCCTGTGTGAACTTGGGTAAGTTACTTCACATCTGGGGCCTGGAAAATTCCCTGGTTGGAGCCTGTGAAGGCTGGATAACTCTCCCTGGGTAGGCTGCTACTTCATCTGCATGTACCCGTGCGTCCATCCGACAGCCATGGGCTGAGCCGTCCTCTGGGCTGGATGCCGGGCCAGGTGCTGGTGCCGAGAGCCCTTACCTGAGAAGGTAGACACACAGTCAGACAGTCACGGACCACGTTGGCAAAGCTGACGCAGGTGTGCGTGCAGGGCTGTCTCTGATCCAGCAGGGGTGTGCTTCAGCAGGGAAGGCCTGTGCAGGTTGGGTCTTGAGGGATGTGTAGGAGTCCTCACTCCAGACAGTGGGTTATCTGCAGGCCCCTGGGGCAGTGCTCTCTGGGAGTCAGATGAGCAGTGGGGGCCTCCCACCAGGCCGAAAACCAAGACCCAAGGGAAGAGACCAGAATGCCAGCCCAGGAGCCCAAGGGCTGCCATCTGGGCCTGGTTGGGGGCCCAGACTTGGACCATTTCCCTTCTCAATGCCTTCTGCTCAACCCAGAAACAGGGGAAATAGTCATTGCAGTTTCCTTAGAGCAGGATGTATCTGGAAAGACAGCTCAGCTTCTAACAGCACAAACTACCCAGAAGCCCCTAATGGTTAGATTTGGGGAAACCTTGTTTCCAGGAACTCTTTTCCCCCTGTTACCTCTCTGGGGACCCCAGCTCTCACCCTTTGTCTGAAGACCTCCTTGGATCCATCAGAGGCTATCTGTAGGGTAGGAAGACCCTGGCTTGCCACTGCCTGACTGTGTGACGTTGGGTGAGACACTTAACCTCTCTGGGCCTGGCTTGCCCTGTTCTCTTGATGAGGGGGCTAGACTAGAAAAGAGCCTGTAAACTGTGTTTCAAAGGAGCTGTAAGGGTCTTGGTGGTGCTTCAGGGGGCCAAGAGGGTGGGAAAGAGATGAAGTCCAACTCAAGTCTTAGGTGCCAGAGCTCTGGAACCCCTGCCCACTTCAAGCAGAGCCGCTTTGGTTTGGGGAGTTAAATATATCAGGAGGGCAGATGATATGGTGGTCTGGCACTTGGTTCAGATGTCCTGGATTCAAATCCCAGCTCTGACTCTTTACTAGAGAGAACTTGGGCAGGTTGCTTCACCTCTCTGAGCCTCAGTTTCCTCACCTTTAAAATGGGACAAATAGCAATACCTCCCTCATTGGGTTACCGTGGGGATTAAATGAGATAATATGTATGTATGTGTTGGCTCAGAACAGAGCCTGGCACCTAGCAAGCATCCAATAAAACTGAACCAACACCACTGAGATTCGACACAAGAGCCCATCTGCATGAAGAGTTTGGCTGCAAAAGCAAAAGTTTGAAAAGCACCGGATGGGATGATCTAGACAAGGTTTCTTCTTGTTCCTACTTCAGAGCCAGGTCAGCCCCCGACCACCCTCTGAGACATTAGTCAGGGTTCTCCAGAGGAGCAGAACCAACAGGATGTGCGTAGAGATAGATAGGTAGAGATTTATTTCAAGGAATTTGCTCATGTGATTGTGGAGACTTGCGACATCCAAAATCTGCAGGGTTGGCTGTCGGGCTGGAGACCCAGGGAAGCATTGCATTCCAGTCCAGAGCAGAGTGCTGGCAGAATTCGTTCTTGCTTACGGAGGTCAGTCTTCCCTAGTAAGTCTTTCAACTGACTGGATGAGACCCACCCATGTTACGGAGGGTAATGTGCTTTACACAGAGTTTACTGGCTTAAATGCAAATCTCACATAAAAAAATACCTTCTCAGAAACATTTAGAATAATATTTGACCAAATATCTGGGTAGCATGGCCTGGACAAGTTGACTCATGAGATTGACCAGCACACGCCTCCAGCCCGGGCCCTGGAGGTGAGCAGGTGGGCAGGGTGGAGTGGCAGGAGGGCAGGGTGGAGTGGCGGGCGAGCAGGTGCGTGGCCAGGCCTGTGTCCCTGCCAGCCGGGGACGGAGCGGAGGCCGGACAGGGCATGTGAGTGGTCATGGCTGGGTCAGGTGCACACTGAGGCTATGTGCTCACTTTCCGACCCAAGTCCAGGAGGAAAAGGCCATTTAGATCCCAACAATGTTGGCTTCCTGTGTTCCCGAGAGGCAGGAAGCCACCGCAGGACAGAGTACCGCCAGCCCAGCTGAGGCACAACCGGGCCAAGGCCTGGGGCTGGGGCTGTTTTCCACCCCGGCAGGTAACCCAGGGGCCCCTCCTCACCATGGGGCTCTCTGCTCCTCTCAGCCCCCCGGGCCCTGTCGTGTGGGGCAGTGTTGACATCCATGGCGGAGATGGGCTCCTGGGTCTCCGTGGAGCTTTGGGTTGACGGGTCACTCCCCCAGGGGGCAGGGTGCCGGCTCAGGAGGTGCTGTAGGTGGGTTTGTGACTTGGGGGCCTTCCGTGGGGGCTGGGAGGCCACGGTCTGCTCCGGTGAGATGTGTGTCGAGGACTCGGGCACCTGAGGGGTGACAGGAGTGGGGGAGGCTGGGGTTCTCCTGCCCGCCTCCACCCCCCAGGGAGAAGTGGACCTTGTGGAGTGAGCGTCCCTGTCACCCACAGACTGGCTGTTTCCCCAATAGCCTTTAGGACACCCTGAGGGTTGGAACCGGGTTTTCCTCCTTTCTCAGTTGGAGGAAGAGCGGGTGGTGATGGCGATGGACAGTCTTAGTCCGTCTGGGCTGCTACGACAGATACCTTACACCGGGTAATGGCACACAACAGAATTCATCGCTTACAGTTTCTGGAGGTTGGAGGCCCCAGATCAAGGCACCAACAGATTCGACGTCTGCTGAGGGCCTGGCCTCTGCTTCCAAGACGGCACTTGTCGCTGTATCCTTTGGAGGGGACAAATGGTGTGGCCTCATATGGCAAAAGGGACAGAGGGAGGGCAAAAGGGACACTCTCACTCCCTCAAGCCCTTTCACAGGGGCACTCACCCATCCACAAGGGCAGAGCCCTCATGGCCTAATCACTCCTCCAGGCCCCACCTTGTAACCCTATCACGCTGGGTGCAACGTCCGCATTTGGGGGAGACGCACACGTTCCAACCACAGCAGACACTGGCCAGGTTGAGCACAGGCTCTCACAGCTGGAAGAGGCTTGGAGACCACGGGCTCCAGGGGCATAAATGGCAGGGCCTTCAGGGTTGAGGCAGGGGAATGAGTGTGGGACACAGGACATGGTAGAGATCCCAGCATCTGGGGAGGGCTGCTCTGCCCAGTGCATTCCAACTAAGCAAAAACGTCTAGGTGTTATTTATTTATTTATTTATTTTTTGAGACAGAGTCTCACTTTGTTGCCCAGGCTAGAGTGAGTGCCGTGGCGTCAGCCTGGCTCACAGCAACCTCAAACTTCTGGGCTCAAGTGATCCTCCTGCCTCAGCCTCCCGAGTAGCAGGGACTACAGGCATGTGCCACCATGCCCGGCTAATTTTATATATATATATATTTTTTTTTTTTTAGTTAGTCAATTAATTTCTTTCTATTTTTAGTAGAGACGGGGTCTCGCTCAGGCTGGTCTCGAACTCCCAACCTTGAGCAATCCGCTCGCCTCGGCCTCCCAGAGTGCTAGGATTACAGGCGTGGGCCACCGCACCTGGCCAAGTCTAGGTGTTTTAAACACTTAGCCGTCTAATGAAGGCGAGGGTGCGGGCCCAATTCACCCCGGAAGCTGCCAGTCAGGAGCAGGAGTCTGAGCCCCAGAGACGGTAGTGACTTGCTTCAGGCCCACAGCTCTATGACAGCACTCAGGGCTGGAACCTAGGTCTCCTGTCTAGGAGATGGAGCCTCTTCTGTACAATGACAGTGAAGACAAAGTGATGAAGACACTGCTGATGGCAGTGTATACCCTTCTATAGGGCATACTCTGTGCCGAGCATAAATGCTACGGCTTGTTCAATCCTCACAGCAGCCTGCGAGGTAGATGCTATTATCCCTGCCATCTTACATATGAGGAAGTGGAGGCTCAGAGTGGTTAAGTGAGCTGCCTCAGATCGCTCAGCAAGTGCATGATCTGCATTGGAGCTGAGAGCCACTCTGCAGGCCGCCAGGTGGTGAGCGTGTAGACAAATAGCAGGACCAGCGGATGGGCGGGTGAAGGGTTTGCTAACTCCCTCACCTGCCACCCTGCACCACCCACCTTACCTGGCTTGGTCACTGGCGTGCTAGCACCGAAGCAGCTTGGGAAGCACTGACTGACTCCCAGGGTCCCTGCCTGCTCTCTCCCAGCAGGGCTGGAGCCGAAGTGGAGCTCACCCACCGTCACTATTCCGTTGCCCCAGAGCGTTGCCCCTTGTCCTAGGGGTTTAGAGTGGGGAGAATTCTTCTGTTGTGAAATTTCCTGCACATTTGTTGAGCCCCACCTGTATGGCCGGCCCTGCGCTAGGGAAGGGGCAGGAGACAGACTGCACTGTTGAACAGGACCTCCCTTTTTGCCCCAGAGAAGCAGCTGGATGTGGGGGTGGCGAGGAGGGCAATTCACAAAGGACTACTGAATCCTCCAAGGTGACCAGAGCTTTCCAAAGGCTGTGAGCTGGGGAATCTGGGAGCATAGGAAGGGAGGGACCATCTCCTTGAATGCCTGATCACCCAATAGGGAACATGGCTCCTTGCAGACTCAAGGGTCTGCGTGGGGAGTGTGACATGGCAGGAACAGAGGTCTCTTTCGCAGCATCGGCTGGAGGTGGAGGCTAGACCAGGCCTGCCACGCAGGGCTCTGACTGGTCAGTTTGCACTTGAGAGTGCCCACGGCTCTGTGGATGGGAGGTGGCAAGGTGGGAGGTGGGCCCAGGGAGGGGTAACCAGGCTGAGCTGGGCAGGGATGGGGAGCTGGGATTCGATAGCCTCTTTGGAGTTGCTTTCTGGGACATGACGACTAATTGCTTGGTAGGGTAAGGAAAGGGGAAAAGGAGTTAAAATATGAGTGTGCAGGCACCAAGGAACAAGGTAGGACCCAGGAGATGGCCTCTGGTCCCTGTTCCCAGCATCAGCTGCCTTTGGCCTCTCGCTACCTGAGTGGTTCTGTGCGCTGATTTCTGTATTACTGATCTAGTAATGCATAAAAAATTATCCCCAAACTTAGCAGTTTAAAACAAATACAAAATTATGATTCCCCATGGTTTCTGTGGGTCAGGAATTCAAGAGTAACTTAGCTGGTGGTTCTGGCTCGAGGTGTCTCATGAGGTTGCAGTGAAGATGTCAGCCAGGGCTGTATTCATCTGAAGGACCAACCGGGGCTGGTCCACCTCCCACCTGGCTCACTCACACGCCAGCAAGTTGGAGCTGGCTGTCGGCAGGAGGCCTCAGCTCCTCGCCTCAGGGCCTTCTCCAGGGAGCTGCTTGAGTGTCCCTAGAGCAAGTGATCGTAGAGACCAAGGCTCAAGTCACAGCTAGCCTCAGAAGTCTTTTATAGCTTAGCCTCAGAAGCCATACCCTGTCCTTTCTATACTATCTGCTTGATCACATAAATCAGTGTGAGAGGTGACCCCAGGAGGGTGTGAATTCCAGAGGCAAGAAACAAGGGCAGCCACCTGAGAGCCTGCTGCCATAGAAAGTTTCCCTTTCTGTAACACCTCCGACTGTCTCATTGACCTGGGACAGAGAGAACAGCAGAACAGCATGCCCACGCTTCAAATTACAGCAGGAGGGATGCAAGTTAGAGAGCAGGCCACATTGCCCCATGGAAGAAGACCTGAGAAAGGTGACCAAGAATGTAAAGGAGGCGTCCCTCGGGGGCCTCAGCAAGAGGGCTGCCTTGGGGTTGGGGCAGGTGCTTCTGAAGGTGTCAAAATCCATTCCTGGGGGCTTGGCCATGCCTGTCCTGCTTGGCACCTGCCGCTTGCATTCAGTTTGGTGAGCTTTTGCCTTTGGGCTGGGAGCTGGGGGAGGTCTTCCCTTGGCCCCTAGTACAGAGCTGCACAGGAGGATTTCCCCCTGTGCCTTCCACTGGAGGGCATTTGCTGAGTGTCTGCCCACTGTGTGACAGGGACAGACATGCCCTGTACGGTCATGCATGCTTTGGTCATGTACTGCCAAGGGCGCCTACCGAGAGAGCACTGGAATCAGCCAATGCTTTGCTTACTAAGCCACGCACCCTGGCACGGGGCTGATCGCTGGAGAAAGGGCGCCTTCTCGCCATTCCCACAAAGACACTGTGCTCTAGCCCAGCTGTGCGTCCCTGGGGCTGTCAGCCCGGAGGGTGGGCCTTTGCATTTGCACAAAGATGCTGTGTGGTCCTGTGGGCCTGAAGCAGATACTGTGCTAGTGGCTGGGGCGCAGGGTGAGCGAGACAGGCATGATCCCTGCCCTCGTGAGTGCAGTATGGGGAGACAGACTCTAGATAAGGTAGCAGGAAATCACCCATGATGACTTCAGATTGTGCACTGTGCTATAAAGGAAATAACCAGGTGCTGAGAAGGAATAATGGGGACCTACTCTAATTTGGGTGGTCAGAAAGGCCTCGTTGAGGGGACAGCTTTGAGTGGATTCCAGTAGGATAAGAGGGAGTTGGCCCGATGAGCAATGGGGTGCTGGGGTCAGGAAGAGTGTACCAGGGAGCTGGGACAGCACGTACCAAGGCCCTGAGGTAGGAAAGCTTAGTGCATTCTGGGAACTGTCAGAAGTGTAGAGTATGCTGGAGGAAGGTGGAGTCCTGGGCCTCATCGTGCCCCTTGTGTCTAGACTGTGGCTGGAGGCCCGAGTGGACACTTAGGGATGCCTTTTTGGTTAAAAGTTAGATGTTGGGGTGGAGGAGGCCACAGCTCAGGAGAAGGCCGAGAGTGGGGCAGGGATGATTAAATGGGGGTGCATGTGAGCTCCAGGGGAGATCTTCAGCCAGGTCCAAGGCAACGGAAGCAACTGAACCCACACTATGGGAACTGAACCCACGCTGTAGGAACTGAAGTGGCGAAGGGGAAGGTCCCTCTGGATGCAGTGGCCCTCTGAGCGCCTTCCAAGGCAGGCCACGTGAGGCTTTCTCAATTCCACATTCTGTGGCCAGCCAAAGCCTGGGGGTGGGGCTGGGGGGCTGCTGGTGTCCCAGAGGGAACACTTTCTGCAAGGGAGGGAGCTGCCACCTGGGATGGTGGGGCCCCAGGGAAGAGGGAGAGGCAGAGAGCTGGGGGATGGGTTTGACTCTGTGGCCAGTGGGGGGAGTATGTTCTGGTGTGGCCGGGGTGGAGATGTCCCTGAACTGGGCTGGGCGGCTGGTGGGGTCAGGAAAGCCTTGCTCAGCATGGGCTGAGTCACAGGCCTGAGCTGGCCCAGGACGAGATCCTGAGAGAAGGTCCCATGGTAGGGCCAGTGGCCAAGGTCATATCCAGGCTCCACCCAGTCTGCCTCACAGCTTCTCCCCGAGCCCCACTCCCAGCCCACCCCCCCAGCTTCAGACCAACCAGAAGCCAGAGTGTGGGAACCCTAGAGCCTCTTTTGGCTGCTCTAGGCCCTAATCCGTGCCTCAGTCTCCCCTTCTGCGTTCTGCTGAGAACCAGGTTGGTTCAAAACTGGAAGAGGGTGGGATGCTCTAGATCCAAGAGAAGAGGGCAACTAGCTGCAGCCCTAGGCTGTGGCTGTTGAGGGTTTGGGGTCAGGGTGGCTCCCCACTTCTGCCTCCCTGGTTCTCTAACCAGGCCCCCTAACCCACTTGCCTCAGTAGGTCCTGGGCAACCAACAAGATCCCAGTAGGTACAAAAAACAGATCAGGAGACCCCTCACCCCACTGGTAGGACCTGCTGGGACCTCGTCACCCAATCCCTGGGGGGAGTCCCAGGGCCTGGGGTGGAGTGGCAAGACTGGGGACATTCCAGGCTTTGGGAACCTGATAGGAAATTTGATTCCTGGTAGTGGGAGGGGGATGCAAGTCTCGTGTGTGTGTGTGTGTGTGTGTGTGTGTGTGTGTGTGTGTGTGTGT